GTTACTCCCCTCCTTCTGTTACCCCCCCCCTTCTGTTACCCCCAGGGTGTATCTTTGACACAGACACACAGCAGAATTTTCACCGACCGCTTGAGTCAAACACCTCCCTCGGGCCCAGCAGTGCTTACCAGAGGTGGAGCTAGGGTCCGAGGGAGCAGAGGTGTATGTCATCCCTGTGCGCGTGGGCGCGCAATGTCGACGTCAGACACGCCCATCGACATGCACCACCTGCACAGGCCACCCGCAATGCTTCACTGTTGAGGAGCCCTGTGTAATGCCGCGTATGTTAGTGTGTGTATATCTGCATGTATGTTAGTGTGTGCCTGTGTATCTGTATGTATGTTAGTGTGTGTCTGTGTATCTGTATGTATGTTAGTGTGTGTCTGTGTATCTGTATGTATGTTAGTGTGTCTGTATATCTGTATGTATGTTAGTGTGTGTCTGTGTATCCGTATCAGTGTGTTTGTGTATCTGTATGTGTGTGTGTGTGTGTGTGTGTGTATCTTTATGCGTGTTAGTGTGTGTCTGTATATCTGTATATGTGTTGGTGTGTGTATGTATCTGTGAGTCTGCACCTGTGTATCTGAACAAGCAAATACACCCATGCATTCAAATATCAACACTACATACAGACACACCCCTACATTCACACACACATACTGCATTCAAAACATGCTTACAGTCACACATACAAACATTGCTCGGGACTAAGTTCAACCCTGCAAGGATGGGAAAATGGTAGATACCCATCTGGCAAAGTATTATAGTAGTTGTACGAAAGATGGGGATCTACCTTTTTTTCCATCCTTACGATAGGTGGACCGAAAAAAAATCTTGCACCAGCACCCACTCTAATTTAGGTCAAAAACATGAATAAAATAACTTTTTAATGGGAGGAAAGGGGGGTTGCGGACCGGAAAACTACCCCACTACAGCCCCTGTCCCCCACAGCCACCCAACACTACAGTCTCTATATGCAATTAGAACCCCTATACCCCCTCTACAGCGCCTTTTCACCCATTAGAGCCCATGTTGCCCATTAGAGCCCTTATTTTTGTTTCTTGGACCAGTTATTTTCGCTCTCTTTTTCAACATAACTAGAGGTTAATATCTGTTAAAAAAAATTTGCCTCTGTGAAAATAATTTTGGGCTTCTCTCCAATAAAATCATAAATATCGTGTTCTTGTTTAAGAATATGCCAGTTTTTGTGTATGCTTCTTTTTAAAAACACTGATGTTACTAGAATAATAAAAAAAAAGTGGAATTTGTTTGTGCTGTGTTACTAAAACTAATATTTTTGGTTAATTTAAGGAACCAATTATTTAGGTTAAGATAATTTAAAAATGATTTAAATTGGGGGGCAGAGCCTGGCTGTGGAGCTGAACAGACGTGCACAGCACGAGCTCCCGTCCTGTTTTGCCTGAAAAACCCTGGCTCCCGTGCTACAAAACCGACTAAAATCACATCACCCAAGCAGGGGCTGCAGGGGAGAACAAAACAAGACCACTCTTGAAATGCTACACCGCTGGGAACTTGTGCGGCACGGATGGGGCCTACCACAGCGACCACTGGCCTGATCGGGTGTAAGGGTGCGGGTGAAGCGGCCGATCACCCAGCCCGCAGCTCCCTAAAAGCAAACTTCCAACCTGCGGAGGACCACCCACGAGCCTTCCTCCCCCCACCTCCGCCGGCGGGGGTCATCCCGACACCAGCAACAGATCCACCACTGACATTCATGTCCCAGGGACCGCATGCATCGGGGGTCATTAACTCTAAAATGGCGGCTGCCACATGCCAGCCAGCAAGCATGGGAACAGGAGGAGAGCTGATAATGGACACTATGGTTAAGCTGGATGAGATCCTTAATGCCTTTTGGGCCAGGATTTCAGAGAGAGCGCTGACCAAAGCTACAGCCAAACGGACAACCCCAGCATTTACACACTTGTCACCCTCGGATCCCAAGGGCGGAGGCAGAATAAACGCCGCCAGAGGCTCCCGAAAGCGGTACCGACAAAGGAACCGACGGCGAAAGCAACAACGCAGAGCCTGTCCCACGACAAGCACCCGTACCCAAATTAAGCCGCAACAACCCCGTAGCAGACCAGAGGCACCCTACCCAGCAGGTCAGGGCCGACTGCCTGACAAAATACAGATTCACCATCACAACTCGGACACCTGGTACTTAACCACGGCTATGCCTCTGAAGTCTCAGGAGGCAGGGGCTCTCGGGGACTGCATCTTTCAACCAAAAGGGATCGGATGAATAGGCTGTAGATCGGGGACTAGCAGGCACTTTCACCTCTCATCATGCCTTATACCATAAGTACTGCTCACTGAATGTTCACTATTTAAACAGCAATAGTCGCTCTTAATCTGTTGGTATCTCTCCTCTCGCTGAGTTTTCTGTCATAGTTCCTCACTGATAACTACTGTAACCACCAATTAATTTTCTCATTAGTCAGTCATAGCCAGAGGGACACCTTAAATCTAAACTTAAACCTGTAAAAAATAGTGGTGAGTCTGCTAACCTATTCCTTCAGTTAACGTGTAAACAGCACTTTAAACGTAAAAGCTGTTTTACCAAATAATGTAACGCAACATATGTCTAAGCCTCAGCGCAACTAGCTTTGTTATTTACACGTTCAACCTAGCATTCTAAACTATTAATCACCGATGTTTACTGGTCTGTTAGCCTCATGTTAATTTAAAAAAAATTTGATGTCTTGACAACTACGACTTGAAATGTTATGCAAACTGCCTGCAGATGCTATCGTGGCTATTCACGTTTGATGTTAATTTTCACACATGAAAAATAAAGAATTAAAAAAAAAAAATGTATTAAATTCTTTCTCAGATCCTTTCTAAACCATAGAAATGTCATCTATGTATCGCTTATATAGGACCAAGTTTGCCCCATAACCATGCTCCTGATATACAAAGGTTATTTCCCAATATGGCATAAAGAGGTTGGCATAGCTGGGAGCAAACTTGGTCCCCATGACGCTACCTCGAGTTTGATTGATTTGATTTTAACCAATAATTATTTCTGGTTCGAAAATGTATTTTATCTCCAAACTCGAGGACTGGTCCAAGAAACAAAAAGGTTTTTATCACTGTGGTAACTGTATGCGTGTAAAAGCACTTTCATCACTAAGAAAAAGAAAGAAAATTTTATATCAACTACAACAAAAAAGAATTTTAATGTCCTTTCTTTTATCACATGTGAATCTAAAAATGTAATTTATTCATTAAAATGCATGTGTGGGTTACAATATATAGGGAAGACATTGAGACCCCTAAAAACCTGAATAAATGAGCATGCTAGGAATATCACAATTGGGATTTTAAATCATAGTTTGTCTAAGCACTTTTTGGAGACCGATAGTTCCAATCCAAAACAAATGGAATTTATGGCAATCCAGAAAGTATCAACCCACTGGAGAGGAGGGAGTGATGCCTTTAATTTAAGTAAAAAAGAAATCAATTTCACCTGAGGAAGACCTACTTTACAAGGTCGAAACGCGTTGTGCCTGTTTCTTATTACTTTTTGCTCCAATAAAAGCTGCATACCTATCCTGCATCAGGATACTGAATTACTATCCAGAGGAATACCGTCACCTTCCGGGGGGCCTGAACCTGTCCTTTTACCTGCATCTGATTTATGAAACCGCTATTACAGTTTAGAACCAACTTATATGGGCTCTAAATATTGTGAGTATTCCAATTACTATTCACCTTTCTTTCTGTACATACATATTATGATGGCTTTTTATGTTTGCAATATCTAGGTATCGTGAAAAAGTATCACGGAAAACCACCAACCATTGTGTGCGCAATCACCCTATTCCTGTATCCAGTTGTCTGTATGTAAGTATTTTTTTAAGTGACTGAACAGTTTTTGAATAATATAATACGGTCATTAAGCTGAGCCCTTGGACTGGTGGATACTGAGAATTGGTCTAATGACTGACACACCTACAGAGTATGAGGTTAGGAAAGTTGTAAAAATAGAATACTAATTAAAGAAGTAATAGGGAAGTTACAGCCATGGGAGGGATGGCAGGGGATGCAGGGGACCAATTACTCCAAAACCACAAACACATAGAGGTTGATTGCTGCAGCATTACATTCTGCTGACTAACATAATTGCAACACAATGCAAAGTCAATGTGCGCTGGGATATCTGTTAGCATAGTACTGCAGGAGTGAAGCAGTGGGCAGGAATTGTGGAGGGTGCACTGTATACATTTGTGCAATGGGACAATGAAATAATATATATCCCTGTGTGCACTGATGTCTGTAAATTCTCCATCATGCTGTGTACCTCGCACCTCCAGCAGCCTCCACCTGTCAATTCATATAATAGAAGCTACACACAAGTAAAATTATCCTCACAGAGGTCTGCCAGTTTTGTGCGCGCACACACAAAAATGGTTTGTAGTTGCCCCCAGGTGAAAAGTTGCTAGTCCTTTCCTGATTATGGCTCAAGTATCCTGGGTAATACAAGAAGGTACACGTCAAACTGGCAGCCAGCTACGATTTGATAGCAATAGACAAAAGGACTAGACTTGAAATGTTGGAGGTGGTTAATATGAGAAATTAGAGTGCTGGTTGCATGTTGACAGCATAGTAGCAGGCAATGATGTGGTGAAATAACTCTTGCAGTTCATACAAATCAATTTATATTCTCTTAATTTGCATGCAAGGGTGAAGTTGCATGCAAAAGGGAATAAAATAATTTTGTAAGTCTTTTGCATAGTAATGATTGGCAGGACCAGAAGCACCTATACAGATGCTCATATGGACTGCATCTACACCCTGTTCCAAATTATTATGCAAATTATATTTTTCTCATTTACCTAAATAATTGATGTAAATAACAGTCAGCATAATTCTCATGTTATCAACTATTAAGAGTGCAATTCAAATTTTATTGAACAAACCTAAGTTTCAAAACACTTTATAGGTTGTAAAGAACTGAAAAGTGTCATTTGTTGTGTTTGCAGCATATTTACTGAAATCAAAAGCTATTTCAATCAAACTTATAACAAAATTTTAACAGGTCACTTTACATTTTAACATAGGACCCCTTATTTGATAGCAGCTTCACAAGTCTTGCATCCATTGAACGTGTGAGTTTTTGGACGGTTTCTGCTTGAATTTGTTTGCAAGATGTCAGAATAGCCTCCCAGGGCTGCTGTTTGGATGTAAACTACCTCCCACCCTCATAGATCATTTGCTTGAGGATGCTCCAAAGGTTCTCAATAGGATTGAGGTCAGGGGAGGATGGAGGCCACACCATGACTTTCTCTCCTTTTATCCCCATAGCAGCCATTGATGCATAGGTATTCTTTGCAGCATGAGATGGTGCATTGTCATGCATGAAGATTTTATTATGGAAAGCATAGTTCTTCCTTCTGTACCAGGGAAGAAAGTGGTCAGTCAGAAACTCTACATACTTTGCAGAGGTCATCTTTACACCTTTGGGGACCCTAAAGGGGCTGACTAGCTCTCTTCCTATGATTCTGGCCCAAAACATGACTCCACCACCGCCTTGCTCACGTCACAGCCTTGTTGGAACAGGGTGGCCATCCACCAACCATCCACTACTCCATCCATCTGGACCATTCCGGGTTGCAATGCCCTCATCAGTGAACAGGACTGTTTGAAAATTAGTCTTCATGTATTTTTCTGCCCAATGCAGCCGTTTCTGCTTGTGAGCATTGGTTAGTGGTTGCCGAATGCACAGTTGCAAGACTCTGGAGGAGTCTACACCTTGATGTCCGTGGGACTCCAGAGGCACCATCAGCTTTAAATATATGATTGCTGCCATGTAATGGTATTTTAGCAGCTGCTCTCTTGATCCGATGCATGGATCTGGCAGAAATCTTCCTCAATGTGCCTTTATCTGCACAAACCCGTCTGTGCTCTGAATCAGCCACAAATCTCTTAATAGTGTGATGATCACGCTTCCGTTTTCATGAAATATCTAATGTTTTCATACCTCGTCCAAGGCATTGAACTATTTCCCTCTTTTCGGTAGCAGAGAGATCTTTTTTCTTCCCCATATTGCATGAAAATGGTGCTCTACTTAATAATGTGGAACACCCTCCTTTAGTAGTTTTTCCTTAAATTGGGCTTACCTGGCAATATAATTATCACAGGTGTCTGAGATTGTTTTCAGTGATCAAAAGAGCCCTGAGTCACAATGCCATACATGAGTTAAACTGATAAAGTAAATATTTAATCTTTGTGACACTTAAATAGAATTTGCATAATAATTTGGAACAGGGTGTAGTACGTTGTAAAATTGCACTTCTACATTTGCATTTGTTTGGAATTATATTAAAACAAGGTCCATATTTTCTGTGTCACAAATTTTTAACACATTTAAACATTTAAAAAGGCATGGTTTTGTAGTGGGCACAGCAATATTGAAACAGATCACCATATGCATCTGGTTGAAAGCTTTGGGTAGTAACCAGTTGACCGTGGGGTATACAGAGGTAACATACCTCTAATATAATATATTTTGATTCTCAAAGCAGTTGCCTGCTAGTTTATCCAATAAGGCATATGGCGAAAACATGGTGCTCTGGCGCGGATATATAGATGACATTTTGGTCATCTAGCAAGGCTCTAAATCCCTTATTGAGGAATTTAGTAGTTATTTAAATAGTAATCCTTTTTCATCGATTTTTACCCTGGAATAGAAGATACTTTTTTTAGACCTTTCCATTTAGAGATTCCCTTAATAAGATTAAAACTTTTTTTAAGGCTACAGATGTTAATTGCTATATCATGGACACCACGCTAGTTGGTTAACCAGTATCTCAGAAAGCCAATTTCCACAATTATGCCTGAAGTGTACAGATAATATTCCATATCAAGAACAAGCCGAATTTTTAAAAAGCAGGGTTTTTTTATACAAAGGGCACAAAGGAAGTGAATTAGATTTAGGGATTCAATCTGTGGGTGAGAAAGATAGGTAATCTTTATTATTGGACCAGATAGACTTTCTTCATTTCTTAAGTAGTATGGCTAGGCAGGATGCATTAAATACCTGCTAATGCAACATGTTTTTTCTCCCAGCTATTTTGTTAACCAAAATCCCCAGCTATTTTGTTAACCAAAATCCCCAGCTATTTTGTTAACCAAAATCCAAGCTTGAATGGTTCACAAAGATAACCATTCAAGCTAATTCAAGAGAATTTGGGATATGACTTAGGTGAGAGACTAAGGGTAGGTGTCATCAAGTTTTGC